CGCTGACACTACACGGACTATCGTGTCAGGTCCGTGCCTTGGTGGTGAGGCGACGCTCGAGGCTTGCCAATGAAGCCCGACCAAGCGGCGCACAACACAGAGGGACTAGCGAAAATGCAAAGCCAAGCTGCGCGACCTGCTTTTGGACTCTGCTACCATGCAAGGTGATCCGGCGGTTCGAAGGGGGAAGATTGGGTTGGCTGCGCAAGCTGCGTTGATCCTAGTTTGGGGGTCGGTCTGCAGCGTAGCGCCCAGGAGTAGTTAGTTGCTGCTGCGAACCACTAGAAGATTCGTTCAGTTTGCTGACAACTCGCTGGCGGCAGCAGTCGGTGCATGTACATGTACATGTATCTGACTGGAGACCAGCAGAGTCGATGGGCCTGCGAAGACGACGATGAAGAACACCCTACATGGGAGATGAATCAACAGTAGCGTCAGGGACTCCCGGGGAGGAAGACTAGGAGGGAAGGGCGTTTGTAGGGCGATGGGTGTTGGTGGGTGGAGGGCGTACAGAAGATGGGGATGGAGGCATGGCGTAGCGTGGCGGAGAGGGGAGGAACGGCAGGGGGGGGGGGATGAAGGGCAGGGTCGTCCGTACAGTGCATTCATCGTTGCCAGCCACACGGCGTTGAAGACGGGCTGAGCACAAGACCGTCCCCCGCCAACTTGGCAGTACAAGTACAGTACGCCAAAGGCGCTGGGGCCAGTCTCGGGCCTCTGTCGAGAACTGCCACCGAGGCGTCAGCGAATGGTGCCGCAGGCGATGGGGCAGGGGACCTTCTCCTACTACTGTTACCCCAGCCATGTGCAGACGACTGCAGACTGTGTCCCCACCTCCTCTGATCTATCCGACCAGTCATAGCAGGGAAAACACGAGCTCTGGGCGGTGTCGTGCTTTGGCTTGGGGGGACAAGGACCAGCAGGTGCTCTGTTCATTTCGCTGCCGATGTCGTCGCGCTTGCCTCCACTACTGGTCCCCTGTTCCTGCCTCCGTCCGTCCACCTGTCTATCTTCCTGCCTGCTCCTTTGGTGCCGCCTGCCACACACACCGCTGTGATCACGCGACATGCTCCTTCGTTCGCTTGGGTCGTTTGGGGTCGGCAAGAAGGGGAAAAGCGCGCAGCTGTCTCTCGCTTGCATGTGAGAGGCTCCCCCAGACAGAAGCTTGTCCGATTCATTTCCTGGAGACGGTGGCTTGCAGTGCAACGTGAGCACGCCATGCTTTACCTGGCTATACATGTAATGCCCACACGCCAAGGGACTGGGAAAGGCCCATGCTTGTTATCTGGGTGGCTGACTGTTGGACTGTGTTGAGTTGTGAGCGAAAGATGCACCTGTCAGGCAAACAAGCGGCAGCTTCTTTCCCGTTCGCACCTGTGCGCTGGCTCGACGCCCTCTGTCACCACTCGACGCCTCTCTCACCACCAAAAGACTCACTTCCTCAGAAGCTAGCTGCGTACGTACGCAAAGAGTGTCTGACAGCCAGCCAATTGAGTGTCGCGCCTGCCTGGATTGGCCGCCGGGTAGTCCCTTCTTCCCGTGCAGCGCCCAAAAAATTGACGGCAACACCACGCTGGTTGGGCCACACTTTCCCCTCAATCGAGGTACTCCTGCCTCTTGATTAGCGGCACCACAGTCAACCACCTGAGTACATGTACCTCGTCGCCAAAGTGACACTTGATAAATCCCATCTCGTCTCCAAAACATGGCATCTCCGTGGAACGTTTAGAATTGATTCAAGTTCACGCTCGACAGAGTCTGATCACCGCACGCAAGCCAAGCTCAACTGCCTTCCGAGAACGAGGCGCCTCAAGACACCCATTGTGCACCAGGTTGATTCCTGAACCTTATCCTGCCGCTCGGGCCTCGGGAAGCCCAAACACCAGAAGCCGAATGAGAGCCTAACCTGGTGACATTCGAGTTGCAGTCACACCACTCAGTCGCATCTAGTCGCATCTACTACCTCCCGGGTGACAGGCTGCCAGACTGGCTGGCAGGCAGACCATCATAAGAAACAGCAATGAGCCTCTGCGCATTCGCCAGCAAAAGGTCCCGGTACCCTGGCCTACTAGTCAACCAGCCACCTCCTGCATCACGATCAGCCTCGTTGTGAATGCAACACTCTCTGCCGGCAAATGCCCCTCTCGCCCTGCATCCGCCAAGAACTTGCTGTGTCCTGCTCTTCCCTGCATGAGGTGCGCCATGGCATCATTCGCATTGTACGGCGGCGCTATGTGAGGGAACATCGAAAAGGTTGTTGGAGCAGCTTCAATGCCCTGGTGGTGGCAGTAGCTGGCTGGTGGAATGGAAACTTCGGCACATCGACGATCCCTGATGCCTCATTCCGAGGATGAGACCGCTCTACTGTCGCCTGCGTCACTGTTGCTTCAAGCTCAGCACACGGCACTCTCAAATGCTGAGCGGCCGCTGAATGCCGAGCTCGTTGATTTCCCTCTGAACCTCCCTTGGGTGTCGCTTTAACTCTTGCTATCAGAGCGCGATGTCAGAGCGCGATGTGGCCTCACAATCATCCCGCAAGTCGGGGGCGACGTCGCACTCCCACATCCCGTTCTTCAGTCCCACCCCCAAGTAACTAAAGCATCATCCGCTTCCTTTTTCCTGTATTGTTCCTAGCCTCCTCACCACCATGAGGAGACCCTGCTGATCTTCCCGTCCCCTAGTGGGGGTCGTGGGCCATCTCTGCTGCTGACCTTCCTGTATGGGAAGGCCAACGACGACGTGCTGCAGCTAGGTATCGCGACAGAGCTCGCCATCGGGACCGAGCATCCTCACCCCATCTTTGGCTGTGGAATGAGCCAGACGACTAGCTCGCAAGGATCGACAGCAAAACTTTCCACGATTGTCGCAGATGTTGTGGTGAGCCAACTGACGAGGGAGAGGCATGTCTAAATGGCGGCGCCACACAATGCGCTTCAGCAACAAGACGAGACAAGAGGCTGCGCCAGCACGCGGGAGTGACGCCACTTGACAATTTGTATCACTGATTTGGCTTCTTCCATGCCTTCTCGATGCATCCTCTCCCTGTCGATTTCAAAGTCGTACATAGTACTCCGACAACATTGGTTAGGCGAGACCAAGCACTGACACGACATTTCTGATGGCCCCCTTGTCCGCCCGGCCCCAGTCTACGCTCTTGAGCCTGGGCCCGGCCTCATCGTCACAAAAGAGTTGCCATAATTCGTCAACAACCAGACTCCGAACTCGCGGCCAGGGATGGAACATGAGGGCTCCCAGCCGCTTCCGCGCCTCTTGCGCTGCAGCCTCTGCGTGATCCTCAAACATGGCAACACAGCCGTACACGTGTATACAGGCCTCCAGCTTCCGGATGCTCCCCGTCTTATACCCTGCCTTCTGCACCAGGAGACAAAGCCTCTTGGGATCGACGCCCCGGCACCCGGCAAATAGGCCCGCACGGTATAGAAACGCGACGATTTCCAGCGTCGGCACCAATACCCTGTCCTGGCCTTGCCGCGACGACAGGTTACGAACAAGAGCTGTACACACATCATCTCGATTAGCCGGCGCCATGCTGCAGTACTCGGTGAGAGCGGCACGCGCCGCGATGACAAGGTCCTCGTTGCCCGTGTCCGCAGAAGTGACGTAGCCCGCGAGGAGCTCTGCCATCCATGCACCAGGGTCGGCCCTGGCCAGTTCCATGATCAGAGGGTGAATGTATTCATCTTGCGCGTAGAGAGTCAACAGTGCAAGGAGGTAGGTGCGTGATGAAAACGTAAGCTTATTAAACCACACGGCATAGCTGTAGATTGTGTCAGCGAGCATGAGAGAAGGAGGGTGAGAAACCATTGACGGACCTGGGCGTCAAGGTAAGCGACAGCACAGCCTGTGCCTCTGTGCGGACGCGATCCAGTTTCTCCGCGGCCAGGCGCAGAACGTTAAGGTAGAGCTTTGACACGGCAGCCCTCAAGTACTCCTGCTGTCGCGCAGAGCCACCCGGCTGCAGCGATCGCCAGATGCACCTTGTTGCGCGCAACGCGCCCAGTCGTACATGCGAGCCTACATCGCCCCGCGCGGTAGTTGTGTAGTCGTTGAGGCCCTGAGCCAGCAGGTCCAGGAATGCCGAGGCGCCGTCTTGCAGTACGACGCTCTCTGTGAGGCTCTGCAGGATGGCCACCCTCGTGTCAATGTCCTTGTCGCTCGCCCAGCGCGACAGAATGGCGTCTGTCGTAATGTTCCTCCCGGGAGCGTCGGCAGTGTCGGAGGTGCTACCCCTGGTCGCCGTCATTGTCAGGGGGTGGGCCATGGTCAGGGCTGCAAAGTAGCCGTGGTCCGAGGTCGTCCGGGATGTAGGCTTCTGGCGAGTCGTCGCGGCCCACTGCGTGACGATGCGATTTCGTTCTGCAGGTTCTGAAAAGGCAAGGAGCACGAGGGCCGCTTCCGCGGCGGCGGCGATGGCAGACTTTTCGTGGCGGCTGAGACCTGCCGAGATGGTGGCTTCGAAATGGTGGACGAGACCTTTCACTTGACTCGGGATCCCTGGCAGGGCGTCAACGGCGGCGACGATCTGGAGCAAATCTTGCGTGCTGTCCGGTGACACGACCTCGAAGCCGGGGCAGAGCAGCTGCAGGCCGGTCGGCGTCGTGTTAGCAGCGGCGCCGAGGCTCGAGGCCTGGAGTACGGGCAGCGAGGCGATGATGAGGCGGTTCGCGGCCTCGGCAACGAGTTCTGGGCGACGGTAGGTCGTCTGGTTGACGGCCTGAAGTATGTCGGTCACCTCGCGAACGACGCGCTGCGCGACGGACACATTGTCGGCAGACAGCCCGGTCTCCGGCGCGCCGACGAGGCTCGGAAACTTGTCGAGCACGGACGCCAGGCAGAGGAGCAGGCCGTGCCGCTCCTCGAC